AAAAAAAAAAAAAAAAAAAAGGGAAAAAAAACTGAAGAATATACATATAAACATACCAAACATGTTACATATCAAAATAAACAAAATATAAACCCAAGAAACTGTCATCTGCTTTTGATATAAAAAATAAAGTCATACAATTCACTGGCTTTAAATTCAAGCATATCATATTTTCGTTTTTATTATTAATGAAAAAACCTTAAATGTTAAATACAATTTATTATCTCCCTTTAACTGTGAAGTATGAACATGGACATGAACCTGATAATAATTGTAATATAATAATTTAAATAGCAATTCAGTGCTGAAACTAGATTAGGTCCCGACTGGTTCGTGCTGGTAGACCAGACAGACAATGTTGTTCATCATTAAAATTTGCTGATCGTAAAGGAAGGTCTTTATAGTGAAGCAGGTTGACCAAGACAGCCAAGAAGACCAGTTAGCAAATAACACACATGCTGGTGTTTGGAGCAGTGAATTTAAATGCAAGAATCTGTAAAGTCTGTAAAATGTCAGTAACATCAAGCTATGTCTTATACAGTATATCTGCAATGCAAAGAGCTCTGTTGTGCTTTAGATCAATAAGTCGCGAGTATAGGAAAAGTGGTGTGATTGAACACATCCTAACAGTGCTTGTGAATGTTAAGCATTCAGGTGCAGGCGGGGCGGACTCTTTCACACTGTTGGCAGGAGAACAGGGTCTTACCTCTGGGGGTTTGGCTCATTGTGCTTGTCTCTCTCATGCTTGATCATCCTGTAGCGGCCGATTCTCACGTCGGGCCGAGACACTTTCATCCCATTTAGTGTGATTCTGAGAACAATAGAGAAAACTTATGGTTAGCGTGTATGAGGTTTCATATCAACTGACTGATTGGCTTCACACAGTCACAACATCGTCTACTCTAATGATTATCATAGTTATGGTCTGGAGAAGAGAGGGCATCACCCAGCTCAAATTACAAACACTTTGTACTTGTTTATTTGTGTGTCCACATTCCCATACTTTTAAAGTATGTTTCAAATCTGATGAAGCACTACATCCACCAAGCACAACAGTGAAAACAATCTATCCAACCCCATATTAAATAACAGTGCACAAAATATATATAATATAATATGCAACAACAACAATTATTATTATTATTAGTTATTGTGAACTTTTGTAATAATAATTTAGAAATGTTGATAACAACAACAACAACAACAATAATTATTATTATCATTGCCTTTTTAATATTAATTGAGAACGGTTAATAATAATAATAATAATAATCGATTTATTATTATTATTATTCCTTTTTAAATTCAAGCATATCATATTTTCATCAATAGCATGCCTTAATTAAAATATTTAATTGTCACTATGATGTGTTTTTTGTTGTTATTGATAAAAAAAACTAAAAACTAAAATTAACAAACATTTTTCATCAGTAATTTTGCTGTTGAGATTAAGAACAATGTCCTGTCAAACACAAATTACTTTTAATAAATGTTATTAAAATATATGGGTGGGTTACACCAATAAGGATTAATTTTAAATCTAGATTAAATCAAGGTTTATCTAATAATTCTGTTGCACCAAACTTTAAACCTTGTTTAAAAATAAGCAGGTTTACATTTAAACCATCATCTTGATCCTGGATTTAATTTATATTTAAGATAGATTAACTTGTTGCTCCATAACTTTAAACTCAGATTTAAATCTCAATTAGGGATTAATTTTAAATTTACAGGTGAGGAGGTTTAAATGAAATAAAGTGCACATACAGTTACAATTATGTGGCTGATTGAACAAAGAAAACAATAGAGGGTGTGTCGTGAGGTGTTTATCACAAATAAAAATTAAAATTAAAGTGCACTGAGCCGGCAGATTGTGAGGGTCTTGGTAGCCTGTAGTAAACTTGTGTCTGCTATCGAGTCCGGTATGTGAATACGTCACGCATCTCGGTGCATCTCGGCGTACGACAAAGAAAACAGAAATATACTGTAGCCTATAGCATTTAAAGGGGTCATATGATGTTGCTAAAAAGAACATTATTTTGTGTATTTGGTGTAATGAAATGTGCTTATG